GATCTTTTTATCTTAATATTAAATTTCAAAACATGATACCCAAATTGATATCTCATATGTAAAACCGCATTTGTGACCAGCCAAGTTTAAAACGGAATAAATACTTTATTATTAAATAGTTTTAATAATCAAAATATCTTGGTGAATTGAAAATTTTAATATATTTACAAGAAGCTAGGGTTGTTATGTTCTTCTGCCATTTTCTTTTCTTTCTTTTTTTTTTTTTTTTTTTTACTCTTAAAAATTCCTAATTTTCCAAATATTGTACGTCAATATTCATATAACTGATTTTAACACAGGTACTTGGGTCTTGGTTTATAAATATGTATGTACCTAATTGATATGTAAAAAAAAAAAAAAAGTAAAGGTATGCAGGCTCCGTAATGGCGTCTGTTCAAATCTCTTGTTTACATGGCTTGTTCTTTGAAAATAACGCTGCACCTACCGATCTGTATGCACCGGACGTCTCGGAACACTGATTACTTATTGTAAAATCCCTCACATCTTGCAAATAATTCCTAAAACGTGATTTTTAAACACATTTTCAAACTTTTCGTTAACGTGCCCGGAACTAAGTGCAAATAATAAAACCCGATTCAAAACGACAAATTCCGGCCATTCAGACACTTCAAAATTCTAGAGAAAACTAAAAATAGTTCTGGAATAATTCAAGTTATATTTTGTTACATCTACCCACCTCTATGGGAAGACGATGGTTACTTGTTCTGAATTTTGAAAAGATATTTCTAAATTTTCTTGGTAAAATAGTTAAGTATTTTTCACATTCAAACTTTGTTTTGAAAATTCTATATGTAATACCTTTAGTGGAATTATTCATATCACTATACCATTTTTGTAAAAATTGGTCTTTAAGCTTTTGTTTTATAGCAATCGCAATCCATTTAACACTATGAAAATTTTGATCATTCCAAACATTACATAGTCCTGCAGTGTTAAGAATATTCTGTATGCAAGATATTCATGGATTATTGATTCCATTTTTGGTATATTTATTATAAAGATGTAAATAAATAATTCTACAAATCTTATTCTCTTTTCCATGTAACAGTTTCCCCCAGAAAGATATCATTCTTGTATAAATGCGTACGTACACCGGGTAACGTCCAGTTTCCCCGTACACCATAAAACTCGGTGTACTAGATTTTAGGTTTAAAATATATTTCAAAAATCTTAAATGTAGACGTTCAATAATATCAATATTTTCAAATCCCCATATTTCGCACTCATATAACAAAACAGGAACAACAACTTTATCAAACAGATCTAGCTGACATCAAAAGGTAGATTATATAAACGAAGTTTTCTTATAATGCCGTACATTGCCTTTTGTGCTTGATTAGATAAGTGCTTCTTAGCCTTTGAAAATGACCCTGATCTTGAGAATAAAATACCTAAGTAATTGAAATCTTTTACAGTTTCTAAAACATCGTTGTTGTATGTGTGGGTGATGGTCCTTTTGAAAAAATGACAATTTTTGTTTTATTAACATTAACATGGATTTTCCATGTTAAACTTTTACAATATGCAGAAAATTCATTTTAATTAATGCATGTTGTAGATCATTTGCAGTTTCAGACAAAATAACAGTATCATCTGCAAAAAATAATATAAACAGTTTGATAAAAACGGTAAGATCATCTTCGATCTCTTTAGACAAATTCTCTAAGCCATTAACATTCCTTTCTGTAAGATAATTTTCTAAGTCATTGATATACAGAGAAAATAAAAAAGGTGATAGATTTTCGCCTTGTCTGACTCCGACATTGCAGGTGAAATATTCAGAAGACACACCATCCACATTTATTCTTGATTTTATGCCTGCATACATATTTCTAATGTAAGTAAAACACTTCCCACTAACACCATTTGAAACTAATTTATACCAAAGACCACCTCTCCAAACAGTATTAAAAGCCTGTTTAAGAGCACTCTATACACTGCACACTAGACAGTTCTGATTTTGTGGTATTTTTATGCAGATAGAGTGATCTGCCCTTTGATCAAGAATAAAATAAATTGAAATGTACAGTATTTTACTTAATTTGTAAGGCCAAGATGAATAGATAGAACACTTCATATGCAGGTATTTCGCCCACTTATGTAAACAACAGTGATTTCTGTTCATCAGTACTTCATCGTCTTTGAACATTGGCAGAAAATGCAAACAGAAAATGCAAAATCAATACATGTATATTATCTAATGTAGAGTACCCTTTTCTGAAACCTGTTTGACTCTCGTTAATCAGACTGACGTTTTCTGCATATATTTCTAATTGTTTTTTCAAAATACTAGTGAAAAGTTTCCGGGGGCAGCTCAACAATGTGACCGGGCGATAGTTCTCGGGTTGTGTTGGGTCTCCTTTATTTTTTGTAAATAGGTTTTACGATGCCTATAAGCCATTCTTCCGGTACTATCCCAGAGTTAAAAATGAGATTAAACAATTTCTCGTATAGAGACAGAAACAGTGAAATAGTGGTACTAATATGTTCATCAAGAATATGGTCACTTCCGGGAGATTTGTTGTTTTTTAGGTCTTTTATGGCGGCCAAGATTTCATCTTGCGTAACTGGACAATCAAGTATTTCATTATATCTACTTTGTTCAGTGATGTTGATTTCAGAATCAGTTTCCTCTAAATTGGCTTCATTCATATTTTTGAAAAAAGTATACAAATTATTTAAATCAGCTGTACATTTGTTATTTTTATTTTGGCTATTTAATATTTTCCAGTATTCCTTTGTGTTGTTTGTTCGCAATTTTTTAATTTTTTTGAGAGAGATCTTGTCTATTAATAGTCATTTATTGATGAATCCATTACATTTTTATACTCTTTGCTAGCTATTGTTAGATTTTCTCTAGAATCTTGGGTTTTAATTCTATTATGCATACGTTTAGCTAAGTGAAATTTTTCCTCGCCGTTCTACAATAACGATTAAACCACCGTTTTTCGGGTTTTGTCTTTGTGCTTTTTATTTTATGTTTAATCGATCCCAAATGATTCTTTGGCTGCGCTTAAAAACACATTGCAGATTTTTGACATTACACTGTTCAAATGCTCTTTTTCCAGCTCATTTTCTAAATTCATTAGACCCCCGATTTCTTCTTCAATTTTAGTAGTTGTAGATTTATACCGGTCTATACTAGCACGAAAATCGTCTGCTTTCTTCGCACACCATAACTTCACACTTGATTGATCTTTACTTCCTACCTCTATATAGTTACAAGAGACATTTTGAGATACCGTTACACTGAATGACAGGGGATTGTGTGCGTTAGAATATAAGTTACAAAAATCTACAACATCAAATTTGCTTAAAAAATGAAATAGCTGTACACTAGATATCACATAATCAACAGTGCTTCTGTTCTTGCATGTAAGAGCACCTGTAGATTTATCACTTCCGTATCGACCGTTAAGAATAAAAAGATTGTTGTTGACACAAAAATCTACTAATTTGTAACCAAAATTATTGCTTATTACATCTTTGACTGTTTTGACCAGTGGAATACCAAAACTTTCTAATAAATTAACATCTGTATTTACACTTTGAGTAACATTATTACAGTTTTGGACATTTGCTAAAAAATCATCAGTTATAACATAGTCTTGTAGTTTTCCAACCCTGGCATTAAAATCTCCTAATAAACAAACATAATCGCTATTTTTAGTTATTTCATGCAATTCTTGTTCAACTTCCAAAAAACAATCAGGAGACGAATATTTGCTGTTTTCGGGTGGTATATACACAATTCCAAAGTAAACATCTTCATTGGAATTAATTAACAACTTACTCATTTTAAACCAAAGAACGTATTTTGAACGCTGGTCGTCGGTCACTTCCGCGTCGGCCGTGGTTCGGGCGACCGATGCGAGCCTCGTTGGTAGTATGAGCGCCTTGATTGTGGTTCGCTCCTCCCTCGGCCCCGAGCGTTTCCTCTGTGTTTTCTGGGGGGACATAAAGTCTGCCATCAATGTATAATTTGTCAACAACGAATTTGACACGACTTTCGTTCTGACGGGCCACTCGTATAACAGGGTATAGTTTTTTTCGTTTCTCCTCAATTTGTTCGTTGACCCATATATGCGTGTCTTTCAGCTTCCGAGGTGCCCGTCGTCGAACAAACTCCCTATCTTTAAAAAGCTAAATTTGGCGACGATGTTCCGGGGCCTTGTATTAAATTCATCAGGTTTCCCCATGCGATGCACTCGTTCAAATGATATGTAGTCCCGGATTTTCAATTTGTTTGCAAGAAAGTTGTGAAGAACTGCTTCACAATCTTCATTAGGTGTTTCTGGAATGCCACTAAAAATAAGGTTGTCCCGCATTGACCTACTTTTTAGATCAGTGACAGTCCTCTGCAATTCTTCATTTTGTCTTGTGATCGAGCTTAACTCTTTGTTCATATTCTCCCGCATGGTCTTAGCTTCATGTTTTAAGAATTTCAGTTCATTTTCTGCAGTCTTTTTAACGTCATCGAAAAATCTGGCCTGTCGCTGCAGCACTTTTTTCCACTTCTAAAACTGTTTGTTTCATAGCTGTTAAATCGATCTCAATAGTACTGACTTTGCTTTTCAGTGTTGAAACAGAGTCCTTTATAGTCTTAATGTCTAACACCTAATTTCAATTTCTGTGCAAGATGCGAGGGTTTTTTACAATAAATAATCAGCGTTCCGAGACGTACGGTGCATACAGATCGGTAGGTGCAGCGTTATTTCAAAGAACAAGTCATGTAAACAAGCGAGTTGAGCAGACGCCATTACGGAGCCTGCATACCTTTACTTTTTTTTACATATCAATAAGGTACATACATATTTATAAACCAAGACCCAAGTACCTGCGGATTTTAACAGAAAAATTATTCAAGGTTTCTTTATATACACAAATTATGATGTTGTAAGATGTTGTAATATAACAGGAAAAAAAAACCACAATCAATAATAGTTACTATAAAAATCACATTCTCATCATTTCCTTACCTTCAGGAACAAAACAAAGGTATAAAAAACAAAAATGCAAAGTAAATGAAAATAATTTGTCAGATTCCATTAGTTTCATTTTTTGACGTACTCCGTTGTATATTTTTGCATATTTTTCTATAGGAAAATTCCTGGCACACTCTTCAAAGCCAAATCAATGGTCGTTTTGATATTGACGATGTTTAAAATCCATTTTGAATGACCTAGTTATATCGTTTATTCGCTATCAACATAAAATAGTGAAGACCGAGCCCAATCATAATTACGAATAGATAAGGATATATATACAATATCGTAACATCTCACTTTTAAAAATCAGTTTTAATAAACTTTGTTGATTTGTGGATTCACCATTTATATTACTAATGTTTGCATCAATTTTCAGTCAGTTGAGTTCATATTTTCTCATATTTTTGTTCACATTTTCGATTTGATTTACTTAAATGGTCGTCTCTTTTTGAGAAAAAAAAAATAATCATGAACAACCTTAAACAAACTTCAGGCAAATTTATGAATATTGTTCTTTTGACTTATGGATCTCTCAAGAAAACCAAGATAGATTAGGCATAATCATGTCACATGTCACTATCTACCTTAAGTACTTAAAAAAACAACGAAGTGCACACAAGTTATTTTCAATATTTTTCAGTGCTCCTCGTATGAGTCCAGATCATGTCTGACTTTGTGTTTGTCATAGTGTTGTGTCCTTTAATATGGCTTGGACGAATTCCAGAGTTGATGGTGGTGAATGTGTGTGACCCATACACCAATTGGATTGTCAATGCTAACTTCCAAATTTGTTGGTTATTGGGATGGATTAAATGTTTTGTCTGATTCCTCACTAGTCTTGTCTATCTTGCTTGTCTATCTTTTTGTTAGCTAAAGCGGAACCGCCTTCTATTTCTGCGATGTACATGTTTCCCCTCAGTGTTTATAGTACATCATATGAAGGGATGTTGACTTGGTCTTGAACCATGGCTTTTGTCTACATTTTCCGTTTCCAGGAAAAGTAAATTTTGATCGTTTCTCCGCTGTTTGGTTTCGAAAGAACTTTGGTTTCTCAATCCGAATAACTCTTCTTCATCCATGCTCTCTGATGGAGCTTTTTGCAACGTTTTTGATGCTAGTTCTGTAGAGGATTCATTAGAATACAAGGTTGGTCTTTGTTCTCTGACCAAAGAGTGTTTCGGTGGCCGAATTAATCGCGCTGGGTGTGTTTTGATAATCAATCAAATATACTAAGGATGAGTCTACCCAGACTAGACTAGTCTAGAATAAACTGGTAGATCTATTGCTCAACTATCTTTCAAATGCTTTATTTCAGGTATTGTGGATAAGAGGAATTGTGCTCAAACTGGTTAACAAATTCCTGAAAATATTCAATATGGATGGTCGACTTTTGTCTGTTATCAAAACATTAGGTACTGGTATTCATTGACGAGCTAGCTGCTTTTTCTTTTTCAATATGTCTTCTTTATCCTCGTTTCGCATGACGTCTGTCAACCTAAAAGAGAAAGTGGAGTGATAATTTGTACAAATAACTCAGCCAGGCCCATCAGACTCGAATGAATTGCATCCAATTTTCTTGCAAGGCCTGTTGGAAATGGAATGTAAAATCATTGGTTCTTTCTGTTGATCTGCATGTTTTTGAATGTTTTGTTAATCTCATACTTGCTTATAAAAATTACATGGTCTTTGTTAATCTTGGGTTACTAGACAGTCTATCTTGCTCGTCGTAAAGAGGTTCGCTCCTCAGCTTTTGAAAAGATTTTTGTCTGGACCTCTATTTAAAAAATTCTGCATAATATTTTAGTTCTTACAATAAATTTGGGTTCTACAATGCCAATTGAACTATATTCAATTAACCCCCCCCCCCCCCGATTACAAGTTACCTAGAACAAAGTAGTACGGTTCATTTTTAACCTTGGTTCTAGAGAGGGTATTTCTTGTAACATTTTAGACTTAAACAGTTAAGATAAAACCATGTTTTAATATATATCATGGAATTCATCAGCTTACCTCTATGATCATTTTGTATTGAACAATAATATTACAAGAAGTGCAACTAATAAGAATTTTCATATACATGCATCTGGGTGTGTCAATCAAAGAATAGATCACAGTGACCTACATGTATATCTTCGTAATTTTATATCTTATCATTTTCAAAACTTTCTAGATACTAAGAGGCTAAAATAAGTTAATATATATGTATCCTCGGGTCTCAGAGTGTGTCAACTAAAAAGTCGGTCAGTCTGACCTATTTTTTTGAAATTTTGACTTATCATTTTATTATTTGTTAACCTGCATATTCTGTCAACTGTGACATATGGGATGACCAAACCGTAATCGCTGATATGTATTGAGATTTAAAGATTAAATTTTGTTAATTCCAATGTTGGTAACAGTGACCTATATTATGAAATTATTTTCATTCATTGCCAAATCTTTAGCCTAGATTCAAAGAGGTTGAGGATCATCAACTCTTGTCAGTCCGTGTACCTCAAGGCCTTCATATATTTGACGGTCACACTGACCTACCTTCTCATTTATATGAATTAACATTTTTTAAATCTTATAGCCGTACATTTTGAACACTATATGATATGTAGGATAACCAGCTTTAAAAGTTTATACATTCTGGACACAGGTATGTCTCATTCTAAATTTTGGTCACAGTGCCCTACACTGTTTAATTAGTCCCCTACCGGTGAAACCGGAGGGGACTATAGGTTTCCTCGGAGTCTGTCCGTCCGTCTGTCTGTCTGTCTGTCTGTCTGTCCGTCGGTCCCTCTGTCCCTCTGTCTGTCTGTCAGTCTGTCCCACTTGGTTTTCCGCACTTTTTTTCTTAACGCTTACAGATATTGAGCTGATTTTTGGTATGTGAGTGTATATTGATAAGTTACAGATCAAGTTTTAATTTCGTTCCGCATCATTGATTTTTGAGGGAATTACGGCCCTTTTAATTTTCAAGGGTTTTCCGCACCTTTTGTCTAAACGCTTGCAGATATTGAGCTGATTTTTGGTATGTAAGTGTATCTTGATGAGTTACAAATTAAGTTTATGCTACGTTCCGCTTCAATGATTTTTTTGACGGAATTACAACATTTTAAATTTTGATGGGAACCAGATTACACTTACCGGTAGGGGACTAGTATTGCTAATGCAATACTCTCAGAATGCTTGTTTTATTTAAGGAATAACTGTCTAATTTTTTGGATTCATGATGTGATCAATCGAGTGGCTTGCGTGATAATTTGCATAAACGCCGAAGGCGTTTATGCATAAAATTATCACGCAAGCCAATCGATTGATCATCGTCATGAATCCAAAAAATCTGACAGTTATTCCTTATATTTACATGCTCCTGATTCTGCAAATTCCCGTGCTAATAGCCCCGCTTCTGTCTCTATTTGTCCCGCCCCGCACGTGATTTTTTTTAACCGCGCCTATCGATGAACCAGTAGATTTATGTAGAAATAAAGTATTTTTACAATTTGTAATTTTATCTCGGACAAAGACATTGGAAATGTAAATATTAGAAGTTACAACCGGGTAACTCATTCTAACTTTCTGATTATATCACTGTCATTTTTGCTAGCACTCTCGAGGTGTAGCAACTACGTTTACTTATTCTTTTTTAAAGGAATATGCATGTTCGAATTCACAGTATACATAGGGCATTCTGAGAAAAGATACCATGTCAGTTTTGTATTATCATTTGAAAATGCGTAATATCTTAAGTATTTTGTTTTGTCGTCTATCCTGTACAAAAAGCACCAGTGACTTAGATCTTTTTATGCAAAACTGTGGAGATCAGTTCTCCTTCTAAAGATAATAGAACCCCAGATTTTCTTAAATACCATCTCGGGTAAGTTCTTAAAACAAGCTCGAATGTGTTACGCAAGCGTCCATGAAACCCTCCATTTTACAAACATTGAAATAAATGTATTGAGGATCTCGAGCTCCCACATGTATCTATAGAGTCTGAATGCAACGTGCGAAATAACCTCTTCTCTATAGAGTCTGGAGCTAAACTTCTATGCAACATGCAATATAACTTAAAATATATTAAGAAGTGACAATTGATAGAAAGCGATTCCATTCTACAGATTTTTTTTGCAAGCCGGAAAGTCCAAAAAGATGCGATTACTACAAAACAGTGCCACACTGAAATATTTAAAACAAGGTGCTCATTGGATCTATCGATCTCTTAAAATTATTTGATTCTGCACCTCAATATTGAAATTACAGTGAATGATAGACTGATGAAAGCTCAATGATGCTATTGCCGTCAGTCCTACTTAAATTTAATCGATTCAGAAAAATAAACCAGTGGTTCAGAAATCTACTACTGTGTTTTATAATGGCTACAGTGCTAACTCATCTTTTCTAGAAGATAATCCTGTAACTTTCCTAGTCCAAATTTTAACTTTCTAATTTTAACTTTCGTTTCTACCTATTATAATTGTACCGTTAGATTTTTTTACAATAAAATTAGGGATGCTGAAACAGAAAGTCAAAAATTAGAATCAAAATAAGCAAGTTGTTAGGATGTCAAAATAAAGTGAAATTAAGTAATTAAAATAAATTGTAAAAGTGAAACAAGAAGTTAAAATTGAAAAAGAAAAAAAAGATAAAAACATTAAAATTGATTTGAAGAAATGGCAAGACAATTCAGTTCAAAGCGCTTCGTGAATGACTTGTATATGCAGTTTTGTTGTGGAAGTACTTCAAGTAGTAAGAAATACGTCATTAACATGCCTTTAGTAATATTTTGAAAAATACGGGGAAATTAATCGAGAAACAACGCACTTTTTGTGCACAATAAATATACACTTTTTTCTATGGGTGGCACTGTTGCTCTCTGGTTGTCCATTACAATTTTTTCAGACCAGCGAACAACTGATCTGCAGCTATCTCAGATCCAGAATTTTACACCTAAAGAAATGATAATACAGTACTGTTAATATTGTAAATTGTATTTACTGCCACCTGGTGATTTCAACGACAGTGCACTGTACTTAAACTGTTTTATTATATTACAATAACTTTTCCCCCAACTTCGCTGACTTTTTT